ATGAAACAGCCACCCCAGTGGCAAGAACACGTGCACTAAGGCTTTGGTATACAAAGACGTGGGTTCGATCCCTGTCTTTTGCAACTTTTTTGTTATTTTCCCAATTTACGTAGGTTTCTAGTATAATATGTTGCGCCTGTTTCCCATCATCAATGAGCGCTTGGCTTTGTGGAAAGCAAGCAAGGCAGAAGGTGGGAGGGTGTGGGTTCAACACCCACCCCATGCATTTTTTCCTTATTTTGGTTTTCACCTTATTTTCATTGATTTTCCTTCCCTTAACCCTAATTTACTTTAATTAACCTAAAAAACTAACCCTTTTTTTAACCCTAATTAATTAGGTTTAGGTTTTTTTAATTAACATTTAATTCTCTTGTTTTAATTAAATAATTAATTAACCATTATTTTTCAATACTAAATAATTAATTAATTTACATTCCAACATTTTTAAAACATTTTTTTATTTTGCATTTAAATTCTTAGAGAAATTGTATAGGTCGCACGACTTTTTTGTAATAGTTTAGATTTTTCTTTCTGCAATTTTTCTATTATGTAACTACTTACGGGATATAATAGTGTAGGGTTTAAATTCCGCATCTTTTTATGTAACTTCCCCAAAGCCCTGTAATAGCTTAGGATTTACTTTCCACACTTTACTTTTCCTGCTATATATATTCAACTGCTAGTAGCTAGGGTTTGTATGGAAAGCTAAAAATAATCGTTAGCAAACCCTAATATAAGATAAATAACTGAACTGAACACACTATTCACACTTGCACCTCTAGGATAACCTCTCTGTGTTGCCTTCGGAAACTTGGTCATGTCCCTGGAAAGTGGGGATACTTTAGCAAAAGTCCCTTCAAATAAAGATCATAGTCCCTTGATGGTCCTTCGACATTGCCTACGAAAAATGATCTAGTCCATTCGATAAATTGCTAAAGTATCCTTATGTGTTGCCTTCGATGACCATATGATGACCCCACGCCTGTCCCTTCACATCCAATAGACAGGGCTACCTACCAACTAATGGTATGGATAGTACTATCTCTAAAGGAGAAGGAAAAGAACAAGAATGACCTTGAGTGGGTAAGAACTATTAATCGCTCGCTCACAATCTTTTCAAAAATAAACATTTCTCACACTACACTTCGAAAAAATATTTTCAAAAAAACACTTTGCACGCGTTCTTGAGGACTAATACAAGAATCATTACAAAGTTAGCTATTTTTTGGCTTTTCAAAATATTTTCAAACAAATCACACAAATCAAATTTTCAAAAGTGAGCTAGTGATTAAGAGCCCGTAGATAATTACAGATGAAAAAGGTGCTAACACCTTCCCTTTTCATAACTTACCCCCCGAACTCAAAATCTTCAAATTCTTTCCTATTATTTTCACCCTTTCTTATTTGATAAAATAAAATTCGATGGAGACTCTTGCTATCCGCGTATTTGGATAAAGCCAAAAAAGTCAGTTTTCTCACTGTATTACAGATGTCAAAAGTGCCTTTTTAAATGGTTACATTGATGAAGAAGTTTATATGTACCAACCCCCTGGTTTTGAAAATACAAAACATCCAGAATATGTTTATAAACTTAAGAATCTTTATATGGTCTGAAACAAGCTCCCAGAGCTTGGTATGAAATACTAAGTAACTATATCTTAGTAAATGATGTTACCATAGGGAATGTGGACACTACTCTATTCTATGAATCATTTAAAAATGACATTCTGATTTGTCAAATATACGTAGATGATATAATCTTTGGATCTACTAAAGTCTCCTTCATAAAAGAATTTTCTAAGACTGTGCAGGAAGAATTCGAAATGAGCTTGATGGGTGAACTCAAGTTCTTTCTGGGAATTCAATTCAATCAAACTCCAGAAGGAAATTACATACATCAAAGTAAGTATGTTAAAGAACTTCTGAAGAAATTGTATATGTCAGAAAGTAAGGCATCCAAAACTCCCATGCATCCTACATGCATTCTGAAAAAGGAAGAGGTAAGTAAGAAAGTAGAACAAAAGCTCTATAGAGGTATGATTGGTGCTCTCCTATATTTAACAACTTCAAGACCTGATATTCTATATAGAATTTGTCTTTGTGTCATAGATTCCAATCAAATCCTAGAGAATCTCACTTAACAGCAATTAAGCGAATTTTCAAGTATCTGAAAGGTACTAGTAATCTTGGTCTTTATTATAGAAAACCCAGAGAATATAAATTAGTAGGGTACTGTGATGCTGAATTTATTGGAGATAGAATATAAAGCAAAAGTACTTCTGGAAGCTGCCAGTTTTTGGGAGATAACTTAATCTCATGGTCCAGCAAAAGACAATTCACTATTGCATTATCAACTAATAAAGCTGAATATATAGCTGTAGCTGGATGCAGTACTCAGATACTCTAGATGAAGAGTCATCTTGAAGATTTTCATATTTATAAGAGTAACATGCCTATCCTTTGTGATAAGACTTATGCTACTTGTCTTTCTAAAAATTCTATTTTACATTTGAAACAACCGGCTGAAATTCATCAAACAATGAAGTCGCCATCGAACGTCTTTTATCCCACATGGAGGGAAAGGTAAACATCGAGAAAACCAGATAAGGGAGAAGTCACAGTCTTGCAACCGAGAGATCGGGTAAGGGAGTCTGTTATGCGAGGGGAAGGTATTAGCACCCCACACGCCCGTAGTACTCTACAGTATCCACTCTTGTTTTCTATCTTATGGGTGTGTTTAATATATGCTTACTGTTTACTACTAAGGAAGAATGCATGTAAAGGAAAGGATAAAAGAATGTAGGGAAAATAAAGTTGTACTTGCTTAGGCCCTACCCCAATGCCTACGTATCATTTTTGAGGAATCAGAGCTACCGTAGTTCGGCTCACATGTTTTTGTTTGTTTTGTGTTTTTTATGAACAATGTTAATTCCACCTTCTACCGCAGCTCGACCTTTGGAGACTCACGCGTTGGCACGGAAGTAAATTAATTATGTCCTTACTGAAAAGGGTTTTGAGTTATGCCCTAGAGGCAAGATGCCACATTTGATTAATTTGTATCTTGTTACCTTGAAAAGGGTTAAAGTGAGATTAGCTTATTTTATGATTTTCTAAAGAAAAGAGGTTTTAGTTTTAAATGCAAGGATGCAAAAAGGGAAAGGAAAGAGTCTAAGGGAGACTAGCCTACTTCTAACATAATGTTATCATACAATGGTGGTCCTAAGATTTGGATTAACAAAAGGGAAATTTCTACCTAATGTTAGCATGCATGATTTGCAACCTAAGGTCTAACTTGCGTCCGAAGGGAGCAAGCACGTCCTAAGGGAACACGGTATGTACAAGGATAAAACAAGAAAGCTCAGAAGAGCACACCCATAAAATAGTGAAGAAAAGAATCGAAATACTTTAACCAACGGGGGAGTATCACCCGAGACAAACAAGCGGGAGTGAGATGTAAAAACAAAATGATGTCTAAAGCGATTGAACACCTAACCAAGATATAGGAGGTCGAGGTGGGCGAAGGAAAACAATAAGAACAATCACGGAGTCTCAGCATCGGCCAATGCAAACTCTTGACAAAGCTTGGGGGTTCGATTGCGGAACCCTTCCCCACTTGACGACTCGATACACAAGAGCAGGCACAACTCTGAAGCGTCATGGTGCGTCACGAGCTAAGGATGACACAGACGGAATTGTAGGGGTTGATTGCTAACCCTCCCTGCTCGCCTCATTTTGAGGACTTCAATAAGGGATGGGGGAATAATGCAGGCACAAAATGTAAACACACCTTCAGAATACCTACTCAAAGGTAGGGTTTTAAACAAACCACACACAAGTAGCAAACATGTCTACGGAGTTGCCCTAAACGGGTCTAAATAAACCAGAGGGGTTCCTGACATGATCAGCAACGGAGACCCCCATCATACATCTCTATTCCTACTTATCATGGCATCAGAAAGCAGTAAAGCCCTACTTCTCATGATCTCTAGAAAAGCAATAGAGAAATGCATTAAAGTGTGAAGAAGTACAAAGGTAGTAGCGGAGACTACCAAAATCAAGCAAATCGTCAAGAGCGGACGAAAGCAATGGAGAAGCAGAGATTACGCGTCAAGCAAGCTTCACCAAGAAACAAATAAATTCAAAAAAGATATCCAACTAAGATAAAGGCAAACGCGTGTTGCGAATGTAACGCACAATCAGAAGTTCTTGTACAAAGCTCATAAAACATCACATGTATCAGGACCACATATAATATAATATGAATTTTTCAGGACGATGAGAAATAAGGCACGTCACATCACAAGCGAGCATAAGCCGTATGCTTCGATCACCTAACTACATGTTATGTTACATGATCGAAAGCACAAAAATTTACCTTGCACAATGAACAAATGCGTCAAAAATAGCATGGCAAAGCGGCATGAAAATACAGATGAAAACAAGAAAGAAAAAGCATTTTTTTATTTATTAGTTTTCTATGCAAGGAAAATTCCAAAAAAAATTAAAGAATTAATTCCTAAGAAATTTATAATATATTCTACTATTTCTTTATTAATGTTTTTATATTATTTTTATCATATATTTTATTGGCAAAAATTAAGAAAAAAAGTCCTGATTCTAATGAAGAATTAGTGAACTCAGGGGGTGCTATTTTGAGTCCAGGGAGTGTGACCCAGCAAATTTGGGCGCTGGCCTGTTAGTAGGATCCAATGCAGTTTTATTTTTGTTCTTATTATCAGGCTTCAAATAAACTGAAACGGGCTAAGGGATGATGCAATTCGGCCCAATAATGGTTGCTTTTTATTCAATGGTATAGGTTCACAAAAATGTGTATGGACTGGGCTTCAGGATAAGCCCCAACGAAAACAATGCTTGGCCCAACACCTTTTCCAATCCCCTTTTTGTTATTGTTGTGTTATGCTTACTATTACAAAAAACAATTTAATATGAATTAAATAAAAATAAAAATATTTAAAGGGAATTAGGTTTTGTTTTTGGGTGACGGTCCCAATTCTTCTTCATCTCTCGAACGCGGCGGCGGTTCTTTCTCCTCCATCCTCTCCACCGGAAGCGTCATAACACCAGCATCCTCTTTCTGCTTCGACAATGCTCAACCATCTCAACCTTTGCACAACAAACTCCTATCACCTTCTCCAATTTCCTCATCAATTTCAACCGCATTCCATGTTTCTTATAAATCGTCCTCGATTGTGATTCTCAAATCATCCCCTCCTTCATTCTCATCTTATTCGTCCTATCTTGAAGAAGGACATGAAAATGTCCTACACCACGTAACTGTACGCCACGGTTTCACAGTTGGATCTACACGCTCCAAGAAACTAAGACTCTAAACTCGAAATTATAGAAGAATATTCGAAGCTAGCAACATTTGGAGTATGCGAAATGATGTAAAACAAGAACGAAAGGAAGTGAAGCCTACCTATCGGATTTCGTTCGATGCAATTTTGATGGCGGCGAAGAGAAGTAGAAAACCAGAGGTATGTGTACTCTTACGTGTTTTGATTCAATACTCTTCTGCTTTTTTCCAAGTTCTTCCAAGTTATACTTCATCTTTCCTTCTTCTTCCTTGTTCTTCTTTCGGATTTTCAGGATGATTGTTGTCGTATTATTGATGATAGAACATATAATTGAAGTAGAAATTACAAAGACTTGAGGGAGTGTGAAATTGAAGATGAAGTGAGGTTGATTATAGATAACGATGAAGATGATGATGAAGAAGGTGAGAGAATTTCAAAGACTTGTAGAGAGTGAATCGTGATTGAAGTTGCAGAAATGAGAGATGAATGGTGAAGTAGATGAAGATTGGAGATTAGAGGATGACCATGGAGAGAGGGTAGCAGAGAGATTTTTTCCTCTCGTTATTTTATGGTGAGTTTCTGTTATGAAAGCATTGTGAAATCCTCCTCTTCCTCTTTCTTCTTTCTCTTATCTCTTTCTGTTATGAATTCTGTTTTCATTGTTAGCTAGGTAGTTGGTTAGAGGCTAAAGCGGTTAGGATATGATTTGAAGTTGGTTAGAGGTTGTCAGTTCTGTTAGTTTTCTGTTAAGTTTGTTACGGACTGTCATAGGAAGTTTGACTTAGTTTTGGCCCTGATTTTATGCTTCACTGATTTTCTGAAATGTGCAGGGTTGTGGTTTATTTGTGAAGCCACTTTGAAGAGGACGCATTACAAAAGGCCTTGAAGTATGAAGAAGGGGTGGAGCTTAGAATTAGCTTTTTCTTGCAATTTGTTTCTTTGTAAATGATGTAATATTGATTTGTAACGGTTTCTTTTGTGGATTATAGGTATAATGGTCTGAATTTATAATGGTTTTGGATTATTTCCAATATGTGAATGGGCTTACGATCAAAACTTGGAACGTGACATGGTGACTTTGGATGAACCATGATATTCTGTAACATCTTGAAATTGCAATGGGTTTTTCTCTCAATCGAAAAATCTGGATATGTATCTTTCCCTTTTGGTTTTATATGATGATGTATTGGATATTTGAAGTCATAATACTTTGATCTAAAAATATGCCTCATGAATCTTTGAACTCACATGATATTTCTTTCAAAAGATTCAAAGTGATTTTCCTTTCCAAGTTTGGAACTCGAATTCATAACTTCCTTTGACTTTGCACCCATATATGAATCATTATGTCTTGCTTTTGAAGGAACCTTTGGATATGTGAAATAAGATTGAACAATGATGAATGGCACTTGAATACCTCTTAAGAAAACCTTATCCACAAACTCTTTAATTTTGCAAGCAAAATTTGATTTACTTAAACACATTAGGCAACTTGAATGAACACTCACCAGTCAATAAATCTAGATCAATTATTCCAATTAAATCTCAATTCCAAACTAATTTATATTGCCAACAACAAGTACCAATGATGAGAACCATAATTGCCTTAATCTGAATGAGTCCATAAGTTCATCTCCCATGCCACTACTTGCACTTGTATTTCACCAAAAAATGTGTTGAAGAGTCTTTGAAACTGAAAAGGATACTTGGAGAAGAGGAGAGCACCTCTGATGAACCTTAATTGAATTAACAAGCGCAAGCACCAGGGATAAAAACCCTAATCCTCTTGAGATGAATTTGAGATGCTGAGAAGGCCCAAGCCCTAGCTTGCAAAGTCTTTATTTGAGGTATTGATGAAAAGCCTTGCATTAACAAGTCACAACCCTTTGATGGAGAAACTTGATGATCTTTGTAGCTTGAGGAGAATAAAGCTCTCAATGACCCTGAACACAAAAAACCCTAGCATCCACAAACCATGATTGATGATGAAACCAGTTGATTCCTTGAGTGAATATGAGAACCTTAAAGCCATAAAACAACCCTAATTGCTCAATATCTTTGATCACATGCCATGTTTTATTGATTAATGAATGAATGATGTGTTAGGTGACCTAATGGGAGTCATGTACATGAGAAAAGTGTCAAATGCATAAGCCAGATAAAAGTGAAAGGGTAGACAAACTTGGGGTATTACAACATTATAGGGTTAAACATATAGAAATTAAACATCACTTCTTTAGGGACTATACTCAGAAGTAAATTCTTTGTTTAAAATTTATAGACACAGACCATCAATGGGATGATGTTTTCACAAAACCCTTTGCTAAAGATAGATTTAATTTCATTCTGAAACACCTCAGTATGGAATTATGACCAGAATGAAAATGTAGTTTCTATACATTTAACCCTCAGAATTTTTTTTTGATTTGTTTTTGTGAACATCTGAACAATAGTTCTTCAGAAGTGAAAAGAAAAATTGTCTCAGAAACTATCTAGAAGATATGAACGTTTTATCAAAACGCTTTATTTCAAAGATAAATGCAAGCAGTTCACCACATCAATATTTGTCAAACATAAACGCTAAGTCACTCTCTGAGGTTGAACACGTGTTCAAAATCTGAAGGGCTGAAACATTTGAGTTGATACATTGACGAGCGAGTCACATCGGTAACTGTTTACAAAATCTTCGTCATCCCCTTGTCAGTAATTATTATTGTTGTTAATTATTTTGGTTATTTTATTAATTGCAATTAATTTCATGTTTTCTCTCCGTTGGCTATTTGTACCTCACTTTCACTATAAATCACTTTCACACCTTCATTCTCACTCACCCTATTTTCTATGAACTTGTACTTTTTCCCTTTTGTGTGCTCTAAATCTATAAGTCTGTGAACAATGGCATCTTCTTCTTAACAACAACAAAATTCTCAAGATCATGCTCCTCAAATCAACATACTTAGTTCATCCTCTACTCCAAACGAAGGAAGATGTGTTGAACCTACAAGAACTCTCCTCACTCTGGTTGACACTCTTGAAGTTCTCTGTGAACTTATAGTTGATTTTGAAAAGCATGAAAGAAAATGGGTATGATCTTACTCCTGATGTTGAGTTTCAAGGATGGACGAAATACTTTGATCAGTTAATTTGTCCAGTTTTTCCCAAACTGGTTAAATAATTCTGGATTCATGCTACTGCATCAAATCTTCAAGTAACTCCGTATGTAATGGGAAAGAAGATTGTCATCACCGAAGATCTTATTGAAAAGCTTATTGGTTATGATGGAAGCGACATCAGGTGCAGTGAAATGGAAGAAAAAGGTTTTGAACTAACAATTGTATCCAAAGAAATCTTCACTTCTGGACAACCCTCCAATAAGATCAAATATCTGAAAGACTATCTCAACATTTGGTCTAGAATAATTTTGGGATGTATCAACCACAGGAAACCAACAAGTTCTCCAGACTATATAAACGTTGATCAACAATACATGTTATACTTCATCATAACCAAGGCCAAAGTACACCTCCCTCATATTCTATTCAATCATTTGAAGACCAGTGTAAAGGAAACAAGAGAAGAAGAAAGAACCAAAAGAGATTGGATTCCATTGGGAAGGCTCATCTCAGATATTCTAACAGAGAACAAGATGATAGATGAGTGAAGCTCAATAAGCTAGTGTTCTGGAACCTTGTGCCGGAAAGCCTCTCAACGCCAAGAACCTCAAGAAGATGAAGATTATAGAAACCATTAAAAAGGATCCTACACTTACTGCAAAGGAAGTCATCACCACCAGAAGAGTCCCTCTGAAGGATTTTCCTCTCTTCACTCAAGCAGGCTCATCTCTAGAAATTATCCTCAGATACCTGGAAGCTTGAAAAAGGGATGGAACAATTCCAGATGTTAATATCCTAGATCTCAGGCAACAACCTCTAGAAGTTGCTACCAGAAACTCAAGGAAAAGAAAAGCTTATGGAGAAGGAACTTCTCTTAAAATCCTAAAGCTGCTAAAAAGAAAGGTAACTCTTCTTATGTTTCTGTTGACGAATCAGTATTCTTATCAACATCTGAATCCTCCTCATCTCTAAAATCTGCTGAAAATCCCTCACCACAAACTCTTAGTGACTTTGACATAGAAATTTACACCTCCATACCCATTAATCATCCTCTGATTAATCCCTCTTTTACCCAATTTGCTCAAACTCAGCCATAACTTGCACAAATTCTATCTGATATTGATCAATTGAATCCATTCTTTGAAGTTTCCCAAACAAAAAATCTAAATTCTTCCTCTGAACAAATGCTTGAAACCACGCTAGCCATTTCAGGAATCACCTGCCCTCTCAACACCTATCAACCACCAAATATCTCCACCAAACCTTCACAAGACTTTTTCCTTCCAGATACACCCTCTCCATATGATTCAACATCACCTAACACTCCTATCATCATTTCCGACTCTCCAACTCTCACTGACTCCTCAGAAGATCTTCTCAGAACCATAATTGATTTAGAAGCCTGGGACAAACTTGTCACATCTTCTCAGAAAATAGTCATTTCAAAACTAACACCAAAACCATCCAAATTAGATTCTGGTAAATCCTTGTTGGTTTTCAAGACAGAAATACAAGAGTGCATTTACTCTCTGAAGCAAGCTTGTATGGATAATCTTAGTCCAGATGCTTCTGATTCTCTCTAGACTCAGTTCAGAAAATGATTTTATTCTGAATCTCTGAAGATGAAGGAACTTAGTTATGAAATTTCTCAACAGAACTTCTGCGGTCATCTAAATATCTTTAAGGATAAAGTTTTACGTCTTTGGATAAGGAAACCCCTTCGTAATCTGGACAACACTCCCTGGGAAGCTCCACAGAAATCATAATTTCAGGAACCATCTCCTGAACCTCAACCTCTGGTTGTTTTTGAAGACAAAGGCAAGTCAGTTGAAGAATCTCCTGAAAAAGAATCTGCTGCACTAACTTCTGAAAATATGGATTCTACTGTTGAAACAACTTCATATTCTCTAGTGTTAAAAACTCTGGATGAGTTGAAGAAAGAGAATGAAGTTGTTAGGGAAAAACTGGATAAATAGGATGAAACCAACAAAGAGATTAAGGAGATGTTAGGCAAGCAAGAAGAATCAAACAATCAGATTAAAAGTCTCCTGGAAGCATTGTTCACACGACTTTCACCTCCTTTACAACCTTAGATCTCGTCTTTTGCTTGTTTCTGTTATGCTTTATGTTTAAACTTCTGTTTATATTAATCTTTGTTCTTGATTGCATAACCTTTTTGTTCTCTTTACATGTTTTTATTGTTTTTTGATTAAATGACAAAAAGGGGGAGAACAAAAGATATTTTAAATATAACAGTGTCGAGACTAAGTCTAAAATCAAAAGATTATGTCTCCAACGGTTTCATGATAGCAGCCTATATAAAGAGGTTTATGAAAAGTGAAAAACAAGAACTCACGCATACCAGCAAAGCGATCAAAATATTCTCATATTTCTTATCTCTTGAATTATTCCTTATGCTAAATTTGTGTAAACGTGACAGTTGTGATATAGCTTTTTAGAAGCATTTGTTAGACACATTATTTTGTTTTGCTAGAAAAGTTGTAATTCTTTGAGAAATCAAGTTGTGGTTTGATCTCAAGAAGACGTCGACAATTGTCTTCTCTTCGTGTTGTGTAAATCATTTTTTGATTAGTAGATTAAGACCTCGATTGAGAAAGGCGAAATCACTTTGTTGGATGGACTGAAGTAGTTTGAGTTCAGACGAACTAGGATAACCAAATGTATCATACTGTTTTTAATTTTTAAAAACTCAATTCAAATCTCTATTTCTTATGTTTTTCTATCATTCATTAAATATCTCTATAATATATTTATACCGTTTTATACATGTTTATTACATATATATGAGACATCATTTATAAGCTTTTGATTCACATTGCTACACATTGCGCGCACACACGGCTTCGTACTCCCCTACAAATCCGAAGAGGCGAAAAGTTTACCTCGTAGACCGGAAGCTAAGTTGGGAGAAGCGTGGGAAATGGAATGAAGAGACACATGTGAATGTGGGCACAAAACTAAGTAATCCATATAGACCAGACAAAGATAGAGTGTAAAGTTGTTATCATAATCTTAATCTTATATCAAGCTTTTATCATGTTTATGAATAGTATTACTAACCACGTTTTCTTTTTAGTACTATTGCTTCATTTTCGTCA